CTCATTCAATGAGAGAAAGAAGGACTCATCAGTAAAACTAAATCTTTAACATTTGTGGGTTATTCAACATATAAAAACAATAGACAATGTCTGTTTACATTTGTACAGTAGGCTACTGCTTGTGTTTGGGCTTAAAATATGCATGAATTTGTAACTTGGAAGTGAAAGGCCTTTTGTTGTTTTGGTAGGGGATACTATCTCTGCAGCCATTTAAGTTTTTATGGTGATATGGTGGTCCATTGCCATGTTTTCTGCAAAAAATGTGATTGTGGTTGTTGATATTTAACTTCACTTCCTTTTGTATATCTGCATTATGCACGGATCAGATTCAAGGTACTGCTGCTATCAGGTTATGATATTTTATTTATGCATCAGAGGTTTTCTTTGGGCTCTTCTTCATAAAGTTGTATGATAAAGTTGTATTGAAAACCTTGTTAAAGAAAATCAGAATCTCTGACTTTCTTGGATGTCAAGTTAACTTTATGAAGCATAATTCTTCAAAATCTGAATCGTGGCAAAGATAGTTTACAAACACAATGCATGGTCCAGTCTTCTTGTTTAAGTAACCATATAATGGTTTCTGATTCTATAATTCTATAACAACTCAAGTTTAACCAAACTAGGCCAGCATTACCCATTGCACTACAACAATCCAGTAATACCAACAAGAAACCTTAAAGTACCACATAATCCTATTTGAACATTTTGAGACTGGGTTATTTAAGGACAGAAGTAAAACAACAAGAAGTACAACAACAGTAACAAATGAATGATGACTGTTAGTACTCCTATTAACTCAGTTGGACACAACCAGGGAAATAATTCATTAGTTCAGAGTATAAGAGAGCCAATCCACTAAAATGATTTTGAGTATAAATGCCAACACTTTGCACAAAGTGCAGATATGATTTAATTGATGTACTATAATATACTTCATTTTAGGCAATGCCATCATCATTTCACAAATGTGAAATCACCACAGTTAGGTTTAATGTTAAAGTTGGCATAAATATATTTTGCTTTTGTATTATAACTGATTTGTTGGTTTGTGTTCCTTTTTCATGTAGTCTGAATCCCTGATCTGACCCTGTCCTCAATATTACCAAAAATGTTCATTGTAAGATTGTGAAGGTGAGTGCAAGGTATTGAATGGGCCATACTCCAAGTAATTATGCATACAAAATTCTCTTCCAGTACATGATTTTGACAATTGGATGTCAAGTGTAAGAGATGTATTTTTTCTCAGTTTCTTTACAAACCAAAATATTTTGGAAACTAACAGTGGCACCATGCGGACGCCCTAAACACACACGCATCATTTCATTTTTTTGAAAACAGAGTTAAATAAAATAAATTGATGCATGTCCGTTTAGGGTTTCTGTAAAACAGTCCTCTTCATCTCCATATTTCTACACAGCTCTGTATCATACTGTGTTGCTGGGCCATGCCCACTTGAAATTTTGTAAGTTTGATTTGAATTTCTCCCCTTAATAGACACACTTGGTATTTTCAGTTTTGCTCGGAAAAATATCCCACATGAAATTTTAAGGAACTCGCTAACCAAAGATTAAACCTGATCTTATTTTCTATGCAGATGATACTCTCCTAAACAACTGTATCTTTAACTTATTTACATGTTTTTTTTTTTTTTCTGTCTTGCTCAGGAAAATTCCCCATGGTTGAATCTTAAGAAACTCTCAAATGTCAGTTTCACCGTAACTTCTTTTCTATGCAGATGATACCCTCCTCAATAAATGATTCTTTAATGGCTTCATCCTTACAGATCTTAAATTGAACTTTCTGATCTCTAAAACTCTAAAAGCAGAAGGAACTACAGCTATGAGCTCTGTCTAGCTAAGTAAATTTGTCTCACCAAACAGTGTGGTGAAAACATACCTATATCTTATGTACAACTCACTTTATTTGTGAATAATTCAGAACCATCTCTACTGTTTTACATTCTGCAGAGACAGATTTATTAATGTATTAATCTTTTTTTTTTTACCATGCTGGCAAACTTCTCCTGATTGTACTGCCATAACAATAAGGGTTACCTGCTTTCTCCTGTTCTACTCGCAAAAAGAAAAACAAAATAGGCTGTTTTAAATGAGAAGCTCTGTCATGACAATCAAAAGTAATGTGCTATATGTTAAAAATTCAAAGCCATTAAATGTTACACTATGTAATACCAACTTATGCATACACAATCAAAGAATATTGTCACATTGATATAAAAGTGGCATTAACTTATGTATCGATATCGAAATAATTAAATTTTCCAGTTGTATTGAAATATTTTCTTCATTTCAATACAAAATTACTTTCAGGTAATGCTGATATACTATACCCATGTATTTTTCTTTGAACTTAGTGTATTTTGCATGTTGATTGATTTATCTTTGTGTTTTCATGGTATTGAAGTTTTTGGGTTTTTCCAGCAACATTTGATGTTTCATGAGCTCAGGTCACCACACATATACAAGCAGGTATGTTGTTACCAAATAAAATAAAACTTTTGGGGGGATTTTGTAATATTCTTTTGAACATCATTTTCTCAACATGGAGTTTGAAAGGTAAAATCCCAGCAGCAGTCAGTCTCCTGAAGTGTCCTTTAGCAAGACGTTTAAATCCTGCTATCCAGAATCATTATAAGGCCTGTCATGTCAAACTGATTAAAAAAAAAAAAAAAGTTTTCTGGCTTTTTTGTGTGTGTGAAGGGGATGAAGTCCATTGTTAAGTACTGAATTGAGAAATCTAGAAATGTGATTCTTTTTTCTCTGCCCGGTATAGTGTTGTTAAAATGACGATAAATTGCTGCCAGTCCCAGAGACATTTTCTTGAAAAGAAACAAAGCCAAATGAACAGCGAAACGTATAAAATGCGCTTTGTTCATCAGAGGAAAGGAGAGAGAAAAGGCTCCACTCAGCGAGCTCTGAATGCTGCATTTCATGCCTGCAACAATTATGCTGAAAGGTCAAGTATTACAGCATCTTGTGCTCCGCTCTGCATGCAAAGTATTTCAGTTCACAAATGACCCTCGTTTGCGCTCTTTGAACAATGCCTTGAAGAAGCAGATAAACGTAGGACAATTAAAGATTTTTGCTGCTAGCTGACAATAACATTTACCAAAGGGGGTGATTGCGGTTGCTGTGTAATTGTCCTATTTGTAATGCACGTGAATGCTCAGGCCTTCAGCAGTGAAATGTTTAGGAACTTACGGAAGAGCAGTGAGACAGGCTTTGCTTTAAAAGAAGAGAAAGTGTTTGTTTTTTCGCGTTGGTCTCTTAGCCAGGTCATTTTTAAACTGCCTTTCAAGTGTCTTTACAGTTTCTTGGTTGGAAATTTGTTATGTAAACTTTTTAAAGTTTCATTTTGACAATTGCTTCAACTTTTGTGGAAATTGTTTATATTTGTGCTGATTTCTGTCTATACCTATTTCAGGACCGTGGACAGCACCACGTGTTCCTCGTATGTCCTGAGCATTTTTAAAACTAACCTTATACCCCACTGCTTATATTCCTTTGTTTATTTTGATTTGGTTTGCTGTTGTCAACTAAATGGAATAAATGATAACTTGAAACAAAGAAGCAGTTTGTGTTTTTGTCTACTGGCATATTACTTCGACATCGAACTATTTCTTTAATGATTTTATTACGGATGCACCTAGTTCAAAAATTGACAGTTTATATAAAATATTGGTTCTGTTATGTCAGTGCGCCGTTAAAATTATTCACAATTATTCACTGCAATGTTAGCCTATTCACTCAGGCAAGACATTAATTTAAACCCCGCAGTAGCCTTTATTCATTTCATTTATTAAAAGCATCGAGGTTTAAGTGCTGTATGAATGTTGACATAGGCTACAAGTTAAAACGATTTCCCTTAAATGTGAAAAATGCACCGGCTATTAACCAATTTACAGTTATTTTAAAAAAAGAAAAAAGGAAAACGACTTACTCGTTTAGCCTTTATTGTCGAAGACGGAGACATACAGATCGCAGAATCGCTTAATTAAAATATAATTAAATTTTTTTAAACGATATGATTTCTTCTACAATAAAGGAGAGCATTCCATTGGTGCATAAAATATGCATGTCTGAATGCCACATATCACCCCAAATTGAAAGTGAAGCTAAACAGGTGAATAAAATTCAACAGCAAGTCACTAACTCAAATATGATTACCTTGAGATTAGGGACTAATTGCTTGGGGTTCATGGGGACCAGCCCACCATAAAGCCGGGAGGACTTGGGGAGTTGCTCTGTGAATTTCTACAAAAGAAAGCGATGAGAGCACACACGCTTCCAACAAGTCATTCTCAACAGCTACAAGCTGCACACAAAGACCACACACCGCGCCAAAGATATGGTAATGTAATCCCAAAGTTCTCACTTCTCCGCCGAACAAAACCAGCTCTGCAAAATACCTAATAGAAGATAGTTTGTGATGCTGGTGAGATTTCACTTTAAAGTCTCCAAAAGGACTTTTCTGGTGGGCTGCCTGGTGGCCTAACACTGCGCTTAAAGGGAGGCCTGGGGGGGGGGGGGATTAGAGACAAGGTGAATATAGCTTCACATTTTTGTAGGTTATGTGTGCGCTCAAATACTTTGAAAGAATATGAGTGTATTCTGAAAATCGTCAATCAGGAATTATTTGCTGATGCAGACACGTAGGCTAAGCTATATGAGCCACGAGCCAAAAGCTGCTGCTGCTGAGTCCAAGTCAAAGTCGCCAACCTAACATTAGAGGGGTTTTTTTTCCAAAGAGAAACACATGGGCATTTTTTCAGAGTTGCATTGACATTACAAAACGTATAGAAGGCCAGATAACGCATGAGGTCAAATTTAATTGGCAGAAAAAGAATGCAGCCTTCTTAATGTAAATGCCAGACAGTCGATACAATGAGCAAGGAGCCCTCTGTGTACTTCAGTGATCCAGTGTTAAATCGGCAATTACAGTTCATACAGAAGTCAGTCGCAAACCAGGACTGGTTAGGCTGATGCAGTGGTGTTTGAGCGATCATTGACAGAACATTTTGACTGTTAACACAATAAATCTGTTTAATTTGTTCATTAAAATGCTGACATAGGCGATTTGTAACATCAATGGTTGGCTTTTAGATGAATTGTTAGACAATGACATAACCGCTTATTTCCCAGCATGAACGGAAGATAAACGCCTAACATTCCAGTGATGCTGGGGAAATGTGCACTAAATAAGAGCAGGTGGAAAGCCATATCGCCACAGACGGCTCATACAATTACAAAAGTGGCTCAGGTAGGCCTATACAAATTACAGGAAAAGTAATCTCATAACAACATATAACTATCCAAGAATCTTTCTCTGTGTGAAAAATATGCACATGAATCCATTGTTAAATTAAGCGAGGTTGCCTATTTTAGCAGCGTTTTATTCAGGCCAAATAGCCTTAAGATGTCTAGCCTATGAGACCTTTCTAATGTAAAAAAAAAAAAAAAACAACAACAAAAAAAAAAACAACAGTCTATGAAAAAATAATTTATGATGCAATTAAAACGTCACATAAGTTCAGTCAATATTAATTGAAGCCTATATTCCTATGGTCCAGAAGAGTTAATGAATGAGTCTTCAGCTAAAGGGACAGCATAGTTTGAAAGAAATATAAGCCGTAAACGGAAATCACCTGTCGTTCCATACGTCGCTTAGCAACCACTGTTTGATATTAATACTAAAAGCGGCGCTATTAGTTGGCGGGAGAAAAGTCTCTAATGGTTAGTATAGCTTTTATTTACAAGGCATAACATTGACGAGAAATTAATGAATAATAGTTTGTTTTTGCGATCGTTTAAAATTAGGCTACATGTCGGACAATCAAACAGCCTCCCGGAATAGGCTACAGCTGAATGTTAAATAGAAATGTTTGTGCAATGACACTGGCGGTGGTTTGTTCTTGACGCCACGCACAAACAGCCTTTCGCCGTTTCCTTTCACTTCCTTGATTGATTATTGATAAAGCAGCCGACAGCCGCGCGTCCACAGGTGGCCTCGTCAGTTCGGCTATTTGAGAAGAAAAACACGACGGTGTTTGGTCAGGGATTTCTTCGATAAGCTTTTCTTTGCAAAGCGTTTGTGTTTGATGTTTGGAGCAGAAAGACCTCACCTTTCTGACTCACATGACACACACACACACACACACACACACACACACGGAGAAAGAGAAAAGAACAAACTGCAGAAAAAGGCTTAGTATAGCCTACTCTGACCTTTAACGATAAGCCAGAATGCTGTGTGATTTATCACTGAATAAAACAGCAACAAAAGTTGGTCGAATAGGCTATTATATTTTTTCTTTTCAAATATGTTATTAGAGCCAAAGCATTGACGTTTTTAATTAGGTGAGTTGGCAAAAAATGATCTGATTTGGCTTGTTATTGTTTTGTTTTTTTATCAAGCAAGTTTTTATTTCCCTCAATGTGAAAAAACGTAAGCCTAAAATACGAGAAAATAGGCCAGTAATAGCCTAATAATAATAATAATAATAATAATAATAATGATGATGATATGATGATGTTTTGATGTCAGTCATACTTTATATTTCCGGAATTAAACTCGGCATATTTTGAAATATTTCACAGAAAACTTTACTGTCTTGTTTCCATAATTTATTAATAGGACTGTTTTGTAGTAAGTCAAATATCTATATAAGTTACAAAGAAATAAAACGTACAAATACCAATAAAACGACAACAAACCGGCAAATAGCGTCAAAAACTTTGTACAACAAATACCTAAAATTCAAACCTTTTACAGAAATATACAAGCTAGATCTACGGCTTACATTAAATTCTATTATAAATCAGAGTCAGGTGGTGTTTGTGTGCGTTGTGAGGGAGGGAGTGTCACAGCACCCATAGGCTGCAGCAGAAATGTATATGCCTTCACTTTTCGCCTTCGGCCTATATGACTGCTGATTCTTCTTTTGTATCAATATAATTTACATAAATAAATCCAAAATCTCTCACATCCGCAGTTTCTGGTCAAAAATGTTTTTTCTCTTCCCTTCCATATTAGTCAAGCTTCCTCCAAAAAGGGGAAAATTCAAACAGTGATGCACCGATTTCACTCGGCTTTTGTTCAGACGCACATATACAGAGAAAAGTTTTCGAGTCTTGCAAGAAGAAAAAAAAAAAAAAAAAGTATTTTTTTCTTTTTTAAATAGAAGAATTGGTTGAAAAGAAAGCTGGCGCTTCTTGTCACCACGTCCTGCCGTATAACAGAGCTGAACACTGTAAGGCCGAGCCGTACTCTGCGCCGGGGGAATTGAGGTGAGACAGACCGGCCACCTGGCTCTGCAGGGACGGGGGACTGGAGGAGTGCGGGGCCAGGTCCGGAGAGTGACCTGTGCTTCCCACCTGCTGGCTCTGATGCTGCACGAGCCCGGGCGCGTTGTTGGACATGATCATGACGTTGGCCGCTTGCTGGTGGTGACTCTGTGCGGAGGAGGTGGGCGTGTGGCCGCTACCCTGGCAAGGCTTTCCGTCCTTAACGAGCACCGGCACGGCCACCCTCCGCGGGGACTGCTGCTGCTGCTGCGCGCACGAGCCGCTGTCCTGCTGCATCTGCTGCTGGGACACTTTGTCTTTGGCCTGCCGCTTCATCTTGTACCGGTGGTTCTGAAACCAGATCTTTACCTGGGTTGGGGTGAGGTGGATCATACTCGCCAGGTGCTCCCTCTCCGGAGCAGACAGGTATTTCTGCTGCTTGAAGCGCCGCTCAAGCTCGTATACCTGCGCCTGGGAGAACAACACGCGCCTTTTTCTCCTCGGGGTGCTGGACAGGGAGCCCATGCCTTTACCGACGTCTGCCAGGGAGCTGAGGCTGCCCATGCTGCCCATGTTCATGCCCGAGGACGAGCCCATAAAGCGAGAAACTGAGGGAAAAAAAAGATTCAATTAATGCCATGTAATCACTGATTTTACGCACTAAATGGTCAAATTACGCAAAAATAAATCTTCCACTATGAAATGGTATTTAACGAGACAGAACGAGTTTTATTTGGAATTATAAAGGAATTAAACTTTACAATCATTTATTCCACCCCTGATTTTGCTTTAAAAAATGATACCTAACATGGTGTTCATTTTGACATGTAGCTAAGACAGAATAGGTCTTAAATACTACGCCATAAAACGAGCATATCTATATGTTGTAACCCATGAATTATCTACTAAATAAATGAGAAATCAATAGAAAAAACATTCAGAGCTAACATCAAGTTATCACTAGATTTTTATGATAATATGATCAACTTTAAAATATCTCAAATAAAAGCATAGAGCTGCAGGGAATTTCACGATTGTCTATATTTTTCTCTAGCTAAAAAATACATTTCAAACAATAGCAAAAATCTAAATTAGTGAGGTTCGTCGAGTTCCTACTTTATTGCACAAAAAACTCACAGGTTACCCAAACAACGCAAAAGCACGACATCCACATAAAACTGCCTATCAGCGTTCATCCACCCGTGTGAAGCCATATCTGAACTCGTGAACAGGTGCAGGATACTCACTGGTGGAGAAGCGCGGGTCCGGGTTGGCTCCGTACCAGCCGGTGGCCGTGGTGCTGCCTCTCATGCCGTCCTGGTAAGACGGCAGGTCGCCCATGTTTCCCAGGTTGCCATTGCAGTAGCCTCCCATAGCCGTGTGTGACAGCTGGGAGACACCTGCAGCCGTCATATGGTACGCCGCAGACACAGTCCCGTTATGGCCCATGTGGTGCTGCTGCATCGCCGCCTGAGAGACCTGCGGCTGCCGGTACGAAGTGAGAGGTGCCCCCAAGTTGTTATTCTCCATACTTACTTTCTTATAGCTCTCCTCGAGGGGACTCAAGATATCGGAAACAGAAAAAGGAGTCGTATGCTTAGGGCTCATCGACATTGTTCTGGGACTGGAGAGGGAGAAATTAGAAGGCAAGGCAATCTCTCCTTCTCTTTTTTTTTCTGGCCAAAGCCCCTCTGGTTCCTGTTGTCTCAACGTCGATCCTGGTTGATGAACACGTAAGGAGAGCCGCCTCAAGTCCGCCTTAATTGGATTGAGTGGGAGCTGGGTACTGGCTTGGGTTTGTTTTAGCTGGGTGCCAGGTTTAAGGCTACCATCAGAGGCGGGGCATCCGCAACAATACCAAACAGCTCGAGCCTCCTTTCGCTGCGCGTAATTTCACTTCCAAGACATGTGCTCCCCTCCCACTAACAATAACATAAGCGCTGTACATGATGAGCAGAAATGTGCGTCCCGGCTGGCTGCTCGCGCTGTCCGGGGGCTCGCGCTGCAGCTGTTGTTGCCTGTCTGTGATAAACACACTGCTGCACCTTGGGACTGCACTGACCACAATGCACTTTATTAACTGTAGTGATGTTTACGAGGGCCTCTTGATGAAAGGAGGCCTATATGGACTTGAGAGTTGGAGAAGCACTCCTCGGTTGAACTCCTGACTTTTAATGGCCACGAGAGGCCTGCAGTGATTGCAGGATTGTTTGTGTTATGCCTTATCGTACTCACACATGCAAAAGTGCACTTGCGGGGAGGGGAATTGACTGATACTGATAAGTAAATAAATACAGATCCGCGCGTTAAGTGGCTGCGTAAATCATTAACCCCCTCGTTCTTTTCTTTTTATTCCTTTTGATATCATTGGACGCAAGCAGCGTGTAACCTAAATTCACATGCACACACTCTTCTTAAAAAGACACACACACACACACACACACACACACACACAAATAAACAGAAAATAGAGTGTGGAACAGGAGAGGCTCTCGTGTGAAGTTAACGGCATTCAAGTACTCTCCTGCAACACAACGCCAGGTAGCCCTCACTCAACAGCGTCTTGGCTTAATGCTCAAGGAGCCACAACAGTTTAACTCAATCATATCTCATTGCTGAAATTCTACTCAGGAGCCATAAAAAAGATTTTAGGTTCCAGCCAGCCAGCTTTGAAGTCAAGAAATGGTCTGTGCCTCTGTACGTATCAGAGTCCACTTTTACGCACGGATTTAAGGGGACTTTATCTCCGTTTTTAACCCACAAAGATACGAATTTCATTTCATGTTTTCCTTTTTACAGTAAACAGAAAAATACTCTGTTATGGTCAGATATCTGTTTTCTTATTATTATAATTAGACTTACTATTAGTCGTATTATTATCTGTTGCTTTGTAACATTTGCATTATTATAGGCTATATTGTAATTTCTGCTAGAATTCAGAATATTGATAACATGAAAGAACATTACTCTCTGTTTTTACTAATATTTTCATATAAATTAAAAGTATCCAGCGCAAGTCATAATTCGGCTGCTAGTCAATCCTTCCCCATACATTCGTAATACAAAGTTATTGACCAAAAAATAAGCAGTGAATACCAGAGTCATTTAAATACAATAACTTCTAACTTACACAATGTGTGGATGTCAGGGTCATACCGAAGCTGAACCCGGCTGTACATAAAATAACAAAGTAAATGTTATTATTAAATGTCGTTTTTTTCCCGTTAATGTCTTGCTGGAGGTCTGGTCTGGAATTAGTCTTGCAGCAGTAGCAGAAAAATAAAAAATCTGTACAGGTTGAGCCGATGTTTCTTTAGGATTTAAAGAAACACAGCGTCTTCTGGTGGCAGACAAAATAATCTTTAATGTTTTGTTTTTTTTGTTATCCCACTATGACTCTAAATCGTGTTTCTTCATGCATTTTTTTCAAATAAACCTGTTGAATCTTTAATAAAAAAAATAAAAAATAAAGTACTTATGTGCCCTGAGCGATGCTGTCAAACTGAAACTCTGCTGTGGAGTCAGGTCGTGTTGTGCAGTGACATGCAGATCGCTGACAGTTTGTCATGGGAGTCATGTGCAACAGTTTTGTGTTTTACAGGCTTCTTGCTGCAGATTTCACGGCAGCCTGCAGGTAGCATCAGAATAATCTGCGTTAGAGCTGCATGGAGGAGCACTGGTAGAATTAAAAAAAACCTGCACAACTAAACCCCACACAACCATGTTGCTGTTTTTCAAATTAAGTTTTATGACGCAATTATTATATAGTCACACCTAAATATCACAGCTAAAACAAATTGCTTCGATGATATTTGAACGCATGTCTCTGCACAAGATAAATCTTGCGTATGCCTTCCTTAATTATACGGAATTTCACGAGAGAGTTTTAATCATCGAAATCAGCACCTTTTTACTGTTCTGGCACACGGCTATTACAGCCAATTAGCGATAATTAGTCCAAATGTTCAGACTAATTCCTCAGAATAATGAGGACACTTTGAAGTGGCGGTGTGAGGCTGCACAGCCTTTGTTATCGAGGCTACAGCTTGTTATTTATGAACTGATTGGTCAATGATATAATCCATAGGAGGTAGAAAGAGTGTCTGCAAAGAAAACTTAAAAGGATCTAAGTTATTGTTATCATTTCCAATCAAAAAAAAAAAAGAATAACATTCTGTTATCAAACCGGAATTTACTGTAAAGATTATCTTCAGCATGAACATTTTCATTTTAAACACGCACAAAGAATAGACATAAGGTAAAAAGATTTAGATGCAAAAATCGGCACACTTTCTACACTCAATGTATTTCAATAACAAATTGTCGATATGCCCTATTAACACAATCCAAAAAAATCACAACATTTAGGGTCCACCTTAAATGTCATTAGTTATATCATCTATTACTTAGAAGCCTGGATGGTATCTCTAATGCCCACATTATAAAACAGACAACATTATATTTAATGTCAACTCATTTCTACCTCCCGCGGCAGTGTTTTGTCTCTCCTCAAGAACTGATTTTATTTGCCAACTCTTCCTGTCTTCAGGTAAGAAGATGAGAGGAGAACGTTTCAAAAATCCTGAAGAGTGCAAAAGGGATTCAGTTTCATTCCAGTCAACTCTACATCAGAGAGATGGAAAAAAAAACTAGAGTTGGTAAAGAACGGACTTCTACATTTGACCCTAAAGAGGATACTCGGAGCATGACGTCACACTGACCAGCCACACGTCACTCCACAATGGCATCTTTCTGCACCCAATCAGCAACATATAAGAGGGGCATGCATGGTGGCGCTATCCCAAATAAAGTGCGACCCCTTGTGGCTGCTCAGTTGTTTGCTTCTAGAGAACTTAAAAAAATAATACCATGAGGTCACTTATACAGGTGGTGACAATTAATAGCGTGTGTTAGTGCGCCATCTGGTGGAGAGTGGGATCACTAACAAAAAGGACCTTCTTCCAGGTTTATCTACAGATGTGAAAGATTTCATCCATGGCCAAAAGTTGTCTGCAAAAACATTTTGAAAATGCTGTTGTATGTAGGTGGAAGAATACATTTAGCTGCAGTAAAACAACAAAGAGTTTAAATGGCCTGTCAAAGTTAAGGTAGCTATTAATAAAGCAATAGTAAGAAATAAATAATTTCAGAATATTATTGTGCATTATATGCACAGTGATACATTAATGTGGGAAGCAGGAGCAACTAGGGGTTCAGTGTCTTGCCCAAGAACACATCAGACTGTGGCTGCAGGAGCTGGGGATCAAACTCCCAACCTTCTGGTTGAGAGACGACTGATTTCAGTCAGTGACTTTATCAACTGAGCCACATCCGCCCCCTCTTTCATCCCCATGTGTCCATGTTAAAGGTCATGTCTGTTCTTAATCCAGACAACACCAATGTCGTAAAGTCTTTCAAGCACTTTGGTCACATGGAACACACTTGTCTAGCATTTGAGATTCTGGACAGGAATCTCAATGACCTGCTCCAAGACAGGGACTGGAAACCACCGCCATTGAATGAATTCAGGCCAAGTGTAAAGCAGGTATGTAACACAGAAACCGCACACAGCAGCACATGGGAAACTACAACTTTCCCGTCCATAGCTACTTGAGGAAGTGTGAGAAGTTTCTTTGCATCACTGCAGCAGGTTTGTTCCTAAAGGTTACAGATTTAGGATTGAGCAATATTTTTAATAAGCACACAGAATGAAACGTTCTGGAAAAAATAATCTAATTTGCTGTTTATAAATCTACTACAGATAAGACAAACGCATTTGGATGCAGAAATGTACTCCTGCTAGGTCTGCTGTCAGTTAAACCTTTGAGAACATACTTTTCATACTTTAAATTTAAATCCAAAAGTGATGTCATTTTCATTTACAGGCAGCAACAGTGAAAACCGACTGAAAATGTGTTTGTTTAAAAATGAGAGGTGTGCAGCCTGTGTGAGACACAAGATCATTACTAATGATATCATTTACCCTAACAGACAGTTATATAATTCATAACATTATTCATGTTCTATTTATCATGCTTTTAATATAACCCACAAGTTAAGTTGAATGTTTATTTTGTTTCAACCCTAGAATTATGAGCATTATTTCTTGTTAATCTGTCATGCATCATTTGTTATGGCTTACAAGCTTCACTCACTCAAGACTCTTTGAGGGCACTTTGGATGTTGAATGTGATATGTGTGTGTGTGTGTGTGTGTGTGTGTGTGTGTGTGTGTGTGTGTGTGTGTGTGTGTGTGTGAGTGTGTGTGTGTGTGTGGGGGGTTTGCTGTTGTGCTGTCATGAGCATCATGTCGTGAGCTGAGTGGGCACCGATGCTTTTTACCCAACTGAAGTTCCTAACGGATAAATACATTTATTTGAATTGAACTGATTTATATTGGGCACAAAGTTGTAACTCAGATTGCCTTCATTTAATGACACCTAAATATTTACAGTACAGTTTATCAAGCATAGAGGGGAATTAAGAATATGCATCAAAGCAGGAGAGGAAGCTGTGATTTTTTTTAAAGTCATTTTTTGGGCCACTTTGGCTGAAGAGAGACAAGAAATGTTGGAAGGATAGAGTGAGGGATGACATGCAGCAAAGGGTTAGATTCAAGGTTGAACCCACGGCCGCTACGACAAGGACTGTAGTCTCCACACAGGGGGTGCACGACATAACCGCTAGGCCATCTGGCTCCCTGGAAGCAGAGATATTTGAAGCTAGAGGTATTGATATCTTCCCTGAAGTGCTGCTTTGAAGTTACTTTTTTAATTCTGTTTTGATAGTTCACAATATACTGATTAGAAATACTTCCAATAATGAATAACCACTGTCTGCAGAGTGTACGGCTGGTCAACATCATGAAAAAAGGGGATTTTGTTTAATCACCATTCTTAACTAGCACTTCCAGGGAGTTTGTCCTCTAAAGAGGTCGAATTAGACAACTAAATGGTCATGAGATATCTGAACAAATAAACAAGAAACCAAAAATACACATTTAATTTTTTGACAAAAAAAAGGTGATTCATTTCTGAGTTTTGTCTGATGTACTTGTAGATGTTTCAATTGTAACAAAAACTTGGACCTCAACTTTTGATGAAGAAAACCAAAAGAAAAATCACTGGTTAGTTAAAGTGTTCACAAAGTATTTGCACAGATATGTAAACCTTTACTGTGGGTTTGACACAAAATGCATGTGAGTAGTTGCAGCACAACATTTTGGTAAAATGCCTCACTGTGGAAAAAGTGAACCTGGTGATGGACTTCTAAATACTCGGGACTCTTATATATTTAAATCTGAATTAAAAAAATTAAGAAAATTTCATTGGGACAACCAAACAACAGTTACTTTCCGTGTCAAAAATCTGTCATTTTGACTCAATGTGCTTTGATTGCTCCGTCACACACTAATCCATCGTCAGCCTCAGCATCACTGAGCTGCCACAGAAATCCAAACCTTCATATTATGTCATCAATAAGGTATTATTCTGAGCCATTAAAGTCAACATATCTGAAACAAAAGAAGAGGAATTAACCAGAACTTCAGTCTACAATCACAAAGAGGCCAAGGGGACCAAAGATTGTGATGAGAGAGAATTTCTAAAAATCAGAATATATCTGGTAAAGCTAAAGGTGGTGAGAGGATTTCAGGTTTTTTAGTATTGTAGGGAAGTGTGGCTTTTTGGTTGCATTTGTTAATATAAATTGGATCCACACACGTTCAGGTCTCAAAGATAAACAATAAATCACACCTTAGTCCCACCTCATCATAACAAGTCAACAAAAAGCCAACAGTATGTATGTGCTCAGAGTTTTGCATCAACAAACAAAAGAAAGTAATGCAGATGCAATAGTTCAACAAACATTGAACTAAAATAATTATAATTAAACATTTCTCTTTGATTTAGATAACCTTTTTCAAGTATTCTGCATCAAGTGTTTATATGCAAAAGAAAAGTTTTAACTTCTTATTTTCTGTTTTCCAAAAGACTTTGAACAGGCAGAAACTGAACTTTAAAAATGGACAAATGCTCAAGTGGCCAGTTTATTAAAACACACACTATGATAATTAGTCAATCTATCGCCTATTACTTTAATATTTTAGACAAATAATGTATAATGTTTCTAAATAGAAAAAAATAGAAAAAAGTAAAAAAAGTGAAAGGATAATTTTTGAAAATCAAGTGTTTGAAACAAGAGATCATATGAAATGTTACTTGTGACAAGTAAACCAAACTCCTCCTGTGGCCTGGTTTATGGACCTTATAACTCTCCTAACAGGGGCCCCGGGGCCCAGGGAGACCATGCAGTGAGTAAAACTAAAGGATGGGCCGGCTAATACCAGCCCATCCTTTTCAGACAATTCCTGTGAGCAACTTAAAAAACCAATGGCAACCTCTAAAAGCCTGTCTTTGTCACCCTTAAACCCCAAGATGCTCTAAAACACCATTGTGCAGTTAAAGCTCATAAATTTGTCGCAGGGGCTGATTAAACATCACGGGAATTGAAACACTAAAGATTTTGTCTCGGTCCCCTTTTGGATGCAGGACAATGGTGCATTCAGGGGGAGACATGCAGACAAAAAGGGTGTTTAAGGGGAGATGCAGCGAGCTGAGGGGTCCGGACAGTCCCCTCCATATGTGATACAAGGTGGCCCCGGCGCGGGGGACAAAGGGCCAGGTGACAGGGACGATGGGCTGCAGGGTCACAGGACGAGCAAACAACATTACAGGGGGCGTGGAAGCAGAGGACCCCCTCTCGGCACTGATGAAATACTGACATGATTTTTAACACTGAAGCACATTTTTATGATAGTTAAATGAGGAAGGAAATTAGGGAAATATACGCATACTATGGGAATAATGAGATTAGATCAACTTCAGAATATCTATCCCTTTTACTTTAATCTTTTTAAAAGCTCAATTACACTGTGAAATCTGTTCTTTCATGCCAAAGATCATCAATATAAACACTTGTTATTCTGACACATTGCTGGCTATTGAGAGCATCATCCTTCCTAACTGAACCTGTTCGGTTATCCTGTAAAATGTTTCAGATAAGAGCTCTAAATTCAACCTTAGAAATGGTTAAAATCTACAGTACACAAACCATGATTTCAAACAAAGCTGGAGTGTAGTTTTGTTCCTGTTTCTTCAGAATGACAAAAGTCAACTGAATAAAAGCGAAAGCAGCCCAGACAACCACAGGGTGCCATAGTGAGAGAGGCTGTAATGTTTACTGGCTATTCTCATGCTTAACCAAATCCAGGCCTTTCAGAGGAGATGTTTGCTCAGCTTTTCGGTGCATAATTAGTTTTTTAACATCAGAAAAGCCTCGAGGCCTCTGTCTCGACCTGCTACATATTTCAGATTCTACTAATTAGATATATTTCAGAGGACAAATTGTGTCTTTGAAACGACTAAGAATAATTAAAGCCTATGTGCATTAAAATAACGTTTATACTTTTTTTTTTTTTAAGACGTAAGAAAAACCTGCAGCGACACCTCTTCAACATGTGTTTGAGGATCTTTTTGTTTGTTTTGCAGGAACGGATGCAGATAATTCCTCTTCTGGAGCTTAAGTTGACAAAATAAGCAAATTACACAATCAAATGTATCATCCAAAATATGAGCAACCTTTTATTAATAATTATGTTCACAAAAAGAAACATTTTTAAACAGTTAAAACCTTCAAAGAAAGTCTCTGTAAAGACAACAAATAACAATATTCATCCTTCAAACATTCAGGCTTTGCTGCTACCTCTTCTATCTCAGCCTAAATTCTACTGTAACTCTTTCACAAAATATTTTTTAATACAAATATTATGTTCAAAAATACATTATCTCAATAGATAATTAAACATCGACAGGCTACACAAGTTAGCCCAACAATATAATCAGCATCTGCAAAATCAGTCACAAACACAGCAAAAATATTTCAAAAAATAAAATGTGCAAAATATCCTTCGTTTTATAAAAATCTAAATGTTTATGTTGCTGAAACATCCAGAAAACATTTGATGTCAATCTAAGTGAGTTTGTGCATGGACTCGAGGCCTTCACTTGTAGGAATTAAAGTGGACCGAGTCGCTCCAAAGGTCTCTCCAGGCGAGTCTGGGGGCTGAGGCGGAGGGAAAGTGCTGCTGGTACCGGGGAGGCAGATGGACGGGGTTCGGGTGCTGCAGATGCGGGTAGGCTAAGGGGAAATGAACCGCGTGTGAAGGAGCTAAACAGCCGGGTTTCTCAGTGTCCAGTAAGCAGGTGGGAAAAGGTTTCCCATCTCGAACCAGGATCGGAACCACGACCCGGCGCAGCAGCGGAGGAGGCTGCGGGATTTCCAGGTCCTCGGCCCGGCCTCTCTTCATCTTGTAGCGGTGGTTCTGGAACCAGATCTTGATCTGTGTCGGGGTCAGGCCGAGGAGCCGGGCCAGCTGCTCCCTTTCCGGGCCGGACAGGTAACGCTGCTGCCGAAAGCGCCGTTCCAGCTCCAGAGTCTGCGCCTTGGAGAACAGGACCCGACGCTTCTTGCTCTTCTTACTCTTGTCCTGGTCAGAGTCCGGGGACGAGTCTTCGGGCTTGGTGGAATCCGGAGAGGCCTCGAGACTGCCTTCATCTGATGCTGCAGAGAAAAAAGATGGAGGTTAGGAGAAATTCATATAGAAATAATCTGATAGGTGCGAGTTATTTTGTCTGTCTTCCCTTCTTTCAAAGAAAGGATGTTATGTTATTTCTGTCCATCTATATGTTTATATCTATCTAATATCGACGTCTCTCTCTGTATCTGTCTGTGTTTACAGCTATCATTTCTAAATAAAGCTTCCAAAAGTTAAATACAATAGCTTCATCTATTTGTCTTTGTTAATTAGCTGGATAATTCGTATCTGCGTAATTCTCATTTTTCATCTGAAACTTTTTTATGCTGCTGTCTCAGTCAGGATCCCTTCTAGGGAAAAAAACGTGTTTCAAAGGGAATATTCCTGGTTTAAAAAAGTTGACATAATTTTATAATAAAGCTACGAAATCTATATAACGAAAGTCTTTATAGCAGAGTGATTGGAGATAGCTTCATCACATTGCATTTAACAAATCATCATGTATACTCACACATGCAAGGGCTCCGGTCGCAGCAGTCCATCCAGGAGGTGTAGGGAGAGCTGGCGGAGCACGAGGAGGAGGAGGTGTAGACCGGGGAGGACCGCGGCGCTGCCTCCATCTCCAGCTCCGGCAGGTCCAGGATGCTCCGGACGGAAAAGCTGAACTTGGTCGGTGCGGCCATCGCGATCCACGTGCGTAAAATCCGGATTTGTTTTGCGTGAAGCAGAAACAAAACAAGTAAACTCTCAAAGTAAATCTATCCAAAGAGGAGGAAAAACATCCACTTTACGCGCAGTCCAAACAGTGATGTGTGCGCTCAGTGTTTACACAAACAGCACTCCAAACACAACGCTGCTGCGCTTATAAAGCCTCCTCCTCCGCTGAGCACCTGAAAGGATGGAGTGCTGTCACCCAATGATGGTAGGTGAGGAGAGAGAGAGAGAGAGAGAGAGAGAGACCCTCTGAGCGTCAACAAAGAGTGAAGGAAACACTCGTCATCATTACAGATTCGTCCCGTATCGTCAGACCGGGAACAGATAATGGTGATTGTTGGAGCTGAATCACGTCTTGGGTGGCAACTGACAACAGAGCCCGTCCCATCATCATCACCCCTCCACCCCCCCCCCCTTCCTCCTCCTCCTCCTCGAGCCCAAACAACGTGTCACACATTTGCATACAAAGTGAGCAATTAGCGTGATGCCACAGTGAGTTTGTTTAACTAATACGTCCATTAGAGGCACATTAATTGCAGGCGTGAGAAGTTTTGACGTTTATGGATGCTGAGGACTCACATTCAGCATTTCCTCCTTTGACGTCTTTAAGGAATGTGCAACAGGAAAGTCCTTCTTTGACTTCTCTGATATAAATATTTATGATATTTTACTGCACGAATCTGTCATAAAGGAAATCATTTTTTTTTTTATAACAGATTTTAAAAATGACTATATGTCAGGAAGCGAAAGATCAAATCTTTATTTTGGAGTTTTCAGGGTGATTTGAGGATATTTAACTTCAAGACAAGTTTAAAAATGTTAAACGCCAAATTTAAGAGTTTAAAATTAATTCTTACAAACGTTATAGTATTTATCAGAGAGCATCCTTTTTTTTTAATGCGTATGCCGAAAACTGTGAGCACCGATAATACAAGTAGGCCTACTAAAAAATCAGATGGATACACGTGAGATTATTGATAGACAAAGTTGTACTGACACAAATCTATTGAGGAATTACAAATGTAATTCTGAAATTCTTGCACATTGTGGATTTCTTTAATAACAAGATGAGCATGAATGTTAAAAAAAAGGGCTTGAATTGTTCTTATGTGATTATTGTACGTGTAAATACTTGTTTGCGTAATAAATACTTGTTCCTCAAAACACTCAGCTCTGTTCAGCCTCTGACAAATCGTAACAGTGACTAATTACTACTGACAGGATATTATTGATTGGTAGTTAAGATTAATTATTGATCGTTCACCATGCTTTACGCACAGAAGATAAAGGGGCTTGGAATATACTATGCATGTATTTTTACCCATTTATTTTCACATGTCTGGATATTCAGTGGTGTTAAATCTAACGCCTACAGGCTGATGTCTGTTTGTGTCTCCTCTCATATAAAACGCATTAAATGCAAAGCGTGAATCCAGCCTTCTGTGGGGGTTATTTGATATTGATACCAGCCCTCATCCACTTCAGCGCGGTGCATGAGGCCGGGCGCAGAGTGCTGCTGCAGAACTTTCCTCCCCTGCGTCCTGGGTGGTCGGACGACAGCGAACACAAATACATGCCAACCAGAGGAGGGGAACAAAAGGGGAAAATGTAGCCCCGCGTCCGAGACCCGTTGGAAGCATTTGTTCCAGTCAAGATTTTGCATTTGTTCAGTCCCGCAATAATGCCTGATTGACGCCCAGGCACAATGTGCTTTAAGTTTGCAGGATAAATCCGAGCTTGTTCCGTGTTGTCATGGTTTTCAATGGAGCTGAATGGGATCTGGGACACTATCTACTGCTCCGTCTACTGCCGCCAACTCTATAGTCCTAGGCAATATTACATCTGTGATTCAGGATGAATTAAAGTCCATTTAGATTCACAGAGTTCAACAAATCACTGACCTGTTGTAGTAGCACAAACATACTCCAAAAAAATCAGCCTTTATGTCCCACTTTCAACCAATGTAAAAACCGTTTTACGCACGTTACGCACTAGCTTTTCTTCTTGGATATCAAACACTAACGAATACATTTGCAGTCACCAAAGTTTTACAGCACAGACTTCCTCTTTGAACATCGTGTCTGTGTGCCCACGAGCCTCTCAGCGGTGCACAAACAGCAGAGGATTACAGTAGTGCAGGTTTGCTGGAGTGGATAGTTTGCAGAGGCCACTCCACTGGAGAGCAAAAACACGCAAAGGCAAAGAGAAGTCATGTCCAAAGAGCGGGAATTTCTCTGTCCACAATGAGCCAGAGGACACTTAATCTATTTAACACCCTACAGGCTTCAGCCGGAGAGGATCCTCTGGAGCCCCCAAGAGCTCTCCACGGCCAAATATTTACTCTGCTGTCCAGCTCTTCATTCCCAATCCCTTCCTGTTTCTCACAAGGATCTGAAACCAGTAGCTCGACGGATCTCATCCCGAGCTACTGATTGAACGAAAACCTGCAATCTAACACAATGATGGTCCACTCCAAGGTTAAATTATATTAAAAAAAAAAAAAACATTATTATTAAATCACAATTTACTGCAATATGTTTATTTCAGATGGAAGTTTGAAGTTTGAAGTTTGGTAAACCCTCTCTGGGCTCACTTTCAATCTGAGTTTAAGACACAAGAAGTGATAATTTTGTGACATCACTGTGGATTATTATTGAGAGCATATTCACACCATTAAATGATTTACAAAATGTTATTTAGCAACCTTAAAAAACAGACAAAAAATATAATTCAACAAAGATTATTTTCAGGCTGTAAATCCTCTTGTTTTAGGAATCCCACACAGAAAGGTTGTTTACTGAAGAAGTCGTCTAAATAACCAAACATATCCAAGTGTGCATACATTCTGTTAATGTCAAGATCATAAAGTCTGACAAATTATCATAGATTAAAAAAAAAGCAACAGAAGAGAGAGAATTGGTCTTTGGAATAGTATAAGTGGTATTTTAGGACTTTAGATGATTGGCACAATTATTGACAAACTGACCTTTGAGAAACACTATGAAGCACTTTTTAAGATGACACATGAACATCTGTTTGGTCTCAGAATAGTGTCCTGTTTTCACATCAATAAAACCCTGATACATGTATTCTATATTTAATCTGTGCAGTCTTCTCCCCTTGTTCATCCCATGGTTTGGTTACCTATCTTTAAAACCCAAAAATGCTCTTAACCAAATTGTATAGTGGGCCAGCAAGCTTATGTGAGCCATGAACAACCTAACCCGTCTGATCTTCATTCTTCACATCTGCAGTGTAAGATGAGCTCTATTCTCCATGACGAGCTTCTTTGCTCTGGCTGTTGCTTTGTTTCTTCTAAAGGGAGAACAAAACGCTTCAGAAACACTTTAGTAGCTGCAGCTGAAGCAAAACTTTACAAAGCTAGGACAACATAATGCACTTTAACTAGGAGTGTTTTCACTGTATCATGACTTTATTTAATCGATGATGTTTGTTTTTCATGTATTTTGTCTGGACGTGCCTTGAACTGTGAAGTAGTCTAGACTATAAATGTACCTTCTTGGGTCTAATGAAGACCTTGGACCTTGGAAAATCCGACAATCCAATCCTTTCATTTTTTGTTTGTTTGTTGTGTTTATTTTTGGAGTTATTCAGTTGTTTGTTTTATTTTTGAATGTAATGGAGTCTTGTTGTGTTTGCGTATTTAAATACGCATTTTAAAAATATAAATGTATGATTGGAAATACATTTTTAAGCATCACACTTCTTTAACAATACTCGGTCTGAAAAGCTTGTTTTTTTTTTTTTTTACTTCACCTGAACAAACATGGCTGAAAGTTCAGACAATACACCAGCTGGAAACTTGTTTTCTGCTTGAGTAATGTCAGAAAGACTTTCATCAGCGGTTGTGGTTTGACGATATAACTAAGAACTCCCATGAATCCACACATGAAATCATCAAACTACATATAAATGTTGCAGTATAGCACATTTCAGACGAATACACATCATATTAGATTTCTTTTCAAAATTTTTTTTTTTTTTTGGCCTACACACTTGCCTTTGTTGGATAGTGCAGAAAACAGACACTTCAGATAAGGAAACTACCAAAAGTCCAATAAAGTGAAAGAAAATGTTGTTTGCCATTTTCAACCAATAGAACTGACATCAAAAAAACTATAATTACAACAGTCCAGCTGTGAAGATGTGAACTGTGAATATCTTCATCACTTGACCTCATGCACAATGGCTGCACTTTGTCACTTGTTACTTTTGTAGTCCAGTCCTAAGCTCTGTGTGTTTGGGATCACATCGTAATCTTGTCGTTTTCTGATCTCAGAATGACTGAGTATCTATTACCCACAATACCTCCTCTGTTTCTCCTCAGAGCAGCGTGATGCTCCAGCAGCTGCACCTGCTGCTGGTGTCCTCTCCCTTCTCCTGTCCTGTACGTACCATTAGCATGTGGAAGAGGGGCTGCTGAGAATAAAGACTTGGCAGCTACATCTCTCTCTCTCTCTCTCTCTCTCTCTTAGTCTCTCTCAGTCTCTCTCTCAGTCTCTCTCTTAGTCTCTCTCTCAGTCTCTCTCTCAGTCTCTCTCTCTCTCTGTCCGTCTCTCTCTCTGCAGTAAAATGTGCTCTTGTGAGGCTGCTCGATCTCGAGGCAGCTGTGTGTGAAGTCAGGTTTGTTTGTTTGGTTCTTTCAGACACAATAGGGTATTTACAAATTGGATTTCTCCCATTTGGAACTCAATATCAATGAAAAGGATGTTTAGTTGAACTTTACTTGAGCACAAGTACTGATTAAGAGCAAAAGCACTTAAAACAACATAACTCACGGTACTAAAAGCTAACACACATGTTCTCTTAAATAGGACTTTGGAGAATCTAGGCAAACACGGCCATAGTTTTTAAAAAAGCCAGAAGCTCAGCTATGATGTTGATTTTTCTGATTCTGTATTTCTGTATACAATCAAAGGCTTTCTCTGAGTCCACAAAACACATATAG